ATTGCATGCGCTTCGCATTTTGTTTAGCAGCTTGAGTTTAGCTAACTATGCAGTAATGCCAGTACAATGGTCCGACAGGAAACCCTTGCGCTTGTATTCCTGCCAGTGTTTGCTGTTGTTGTTGCTGCTGCTGTCTTGTTGTCACCAAGTGTCACAAGAATTTGGTCGCGCTAGCCTGCAAATATCTGCGAACATGCACGCACCATTTTTGCAGACCAGGGAATGCACCTCCTGAGTAACTAGCAAAGAGCATCAAAAGAGCTTCAGAGCTGTTCCAGGCTGCAGGAAAATGTGGCGTCTGATTTCATGCGCCAATCCAATCCATCAGCCGGAGCTTCTCTCCAAACATGGCCACATATGGTCAGGTTGTAAAGAGATTGTGAAAGACCATGGAAAACTCCTTTGATCATCAACGACCATCAATCTCCATGTGGCCTTTAGAGGAGCCGCCGGACCCATCCTCCTCACCTCTGTGCAGCAGGATGTCATTCCCAGATCACTCTGAGCGGAACTCTTTCACCCCAGCTCCATCTTCTTGTGCGATCACCTCTGGCCCGACCCAAAGGTGTAAAAGCCACCTATCCGAGCAAAACCTAAACAACTTGGATGAACATATTTACTAACAGTAATCACTGAAGCATTAAAACAAAAAACATGCATGGCGCAGTGGATGCTACCATCCCCTGCACAAGAAGCTCGCAAGGCAATCCTCATGCGTATGTGGCAGGTGACACGCAAGCTAAGAAGCACTACCTAGACTTGTGCTGTTGTTCTTACACTCAAAGGCCCCCGACACCGAGCTCCAGCGTCCAGCCCTCTGGGCACCCCGGGCGGCAGCGTTGGCCAGTCAGCGGCACCGGGTGGCGGCGCCGATTTCCTGCAGGTCTCATTGACCCAAAGTTCACCCACAAGACCAGGTGAGCTGGGCGAACTGTTGGACTCTGCCAAAACGCGGAGTCGGCACGGTCAAAACACACGAACATGTTCTGCGAAAAAGCCCGGCAAGAAAATGCGTGGGTGAATCATGGTGAATCTACCTGGTGACACAAGCAGAACTTGCTCTGCAGTTGTATGGTCTCATCGAGCAGCGAGGACCTCCCAGTCCTGTCCCAGGCTGGAGGCAGCTTCTTGACAGGATATCCTGTGCCTGAAAGGCCGGCAGTGTGGAGAAAGCTACCCAGCAGTGCGTAGGGGGGCAGAAGGCAGAAAGGAAAGAACACCAAACAGTATGACACCACAAATGACCATGTGCAGTCCACAAGGTAGCAGATGTTTCATGTTTTTGGTAAGTTCCCCATAGCTCAAGCTCTGGTCTGCTGGATTTCTTGGAGCTTGGTAGACTTCAACTTCTAACAGTTCAGGAGCATCAAACCACATCATGTTCGATGATGACGCTCCTGAACCTCCAAGGCTCTCCGGCCAAACAAACAGCTTGAGACCATCTGAGAACTGGTCAGAGGGTGGCCATGTTGGCCTTTGCTTTGTGGATTAGTGTACATTATTCTACAGGTAGCCTGAAAAGAACTAGCCAGCAAATGTCTTCCAGCGCGCCTATGTCGTCCAGCTGCTTCAGGGACATTGAGACATAGAGCTGCACCGCAGCACTTTCCTGTTTCCGTGCCACGTCTTGTATTTGAAGGCGCAACACTCAGAAGTGCTTGGCTCGGAGTCTTGTCAAAGCTTGGAGGATCTTGGCCCAGAAAAAGCGAGGGGAGTCGCACAATCAGAGGATGGAACACGTGAAGATTCACTCATTTGGCACCAAAGATGGAAGGTGTCCCCGGACCTCCATCTTTGCGGAAAAACTGAGGTCGCAAAAAGAAAGCTGTTCACCGAAGGTGCGAACCACACATCTCTTATAAATGGACAGCCAAAGGTGCTCGCCACTGTTTCTCTTTGCCCATAACAATCATATTATATTGATTCGAATTCAGTACTCTGTCCACCAAAAGGCTTCAGGGCTCCACACAACTCAGGCCCAGGGTAGCTGCGCTCGGGACCTACTTCAGACCCAGCGCTCACGTCGTCGTCCCGCCGTCCTTCTGCCCCAAGCGCTGAACAGCTGCTGCGGCAGCCTCCTGGCGATGTGCGTCTCACGAGCCACATGCCTGGCATGCCTTTGCATCTCTGGACAAGCAAAAACGGCAGCGTGACATCCAATACAATACAAAAAAATCCCAAAGGCCAAGCGTGCAAAGAATGGATCTGACCCCACAACAAGTCTCCTATCAAAACAACATGCATAGAATTTTGTGAGAACTGATTCCAAAAGTATAACTATTATGAATCCAAACGAATCCTCAAATCCTGTCCATCTCAACTCCTGTGCAAAGATATGAGGTGCTGTATATCTGTGTGTTGTACACAAGAACGATTCATGAAGATTTTGCATAGGCACACCATGCAGCTGCCCTATGGTTCCCCTATTTCGTGCCACCAACCAGACCACACACCCTATTGTAGACTCTTGATTCATCAACCCCTGTTTCAATTGTTTTAAACCTCTTCATATGGTGAGGGGTACATAAAGCCACCACAAACCACAGAGTACACCGCCCTGCAATTAAACCCATCTTCAGTAACCATATATCATATTATAAACGCAAACCCTGAACCCCAAAGTTTTTCCACGGATGTCTTCCCAGCCAGCCGTGGTCTTTCTTTGCCGGTCCTTCCACTCCCACCAGCTCCGTTGACGGTCAGCGCCGGAGGTCTCGTCATTCGCCGCAAGCTTCAGCACTAGCAAGGGCCGCAAGGAGAGGAGACCTTGAGCGGTCGAAGCCTGCTACTGAGTCACAATATGCCACAAAAATCGAACCCCAAACTACTCGAATCCAAACAGCCAATATCAGCCAATCAACCGCAAAATGTCCAACCAACGCTGGCCAGCGAATCAAACATCAAAAAGCACATCAATTCAAACTAAACCTATCAAAAAGAACAAACAAGTTGGTATGGGAATCCAGATGAATCCAGGCATCCCTTGCAATCAACTTGCAAGCACCTGATTTGAACTCCAAGGTGCCCATTGCAGTTCATTCAACCTAAGCTAACACCTCTAGAAAACTGCAATCATCTTCCCTTTCCATTCTTATTTAAGCATACCCTCATGGCTGTTTTGCACCTTTGACCCAACACAACACCATACAGTTACTGTATATAGTTATATACCTGCTCCCTGCACCTCGCTCGATCCCTTCCAAGTGGCGGTCCATGGGTTCAAAGTCCAAGGATGCGCCCCCGGCATCCACCAGGTGCTGATGCATCAGCTGCAAAGACTCGGCCTACATGTTGCCCGGCCGACCGGCGTCTGCGGCACAGCAGGCTGGCATGGTTGGGGAGGCTGGACAAAGAAAGGAAGGTACCACTCATCACCTGGGAAGAAGGCGGGGCCCTTACAGGAACCTGACAAAGTCATCCTTTAGTCATCCTTTGCACAAGTAGCAAGAACCAATGGAACACTGGTAGTGTGGGCTTTGATTGATTTACATCCGCTTGCTGCATGTCAGCCCCAATGGAAAGGCTGTAGAAATTCTGTCACCAACTTTGTCACATCAGGTCATCAGGTGCCCCGAACAGAGCTAATCCGCAACTAGTGGCCCGATGCGATCGGGTCACATCAGGGTCACATCATCAGGTTCCTGTTTACAAGGCTTTCTACCGATTGAAAGAAAGTTTGGGCTTTGTATCCCAAAAATCCAATTTACTACAGTCTGGAAAGCAGCAACACCCTGCAACGGGGGTATCTTGGCGTAATCTGTCCAAATCCACAACTGTTCCATTGCGAACTGCACTGGCAAGCCTGGAAATGATTTCGTTGCCTCCTGTACTTGTCGTGCATGTATGTGGAAAATCCCTTGTGAACTGCCACCACAGAATAAGAAACTCATTGCTTCAGCAGGCCTGTGCACCCAACCTCTCCCCACATTTTTGCAATGCAAAGGCTGTGGTGTGTTGGTGCTTCTTGCGTTCAGCTAGTGTTTGGCATGTGGTGCTGACTAAGACTACACAAACCTGACATCAACCCCTTATGGGTTGCCAGTACCGCGTTAGAACACCTTTCGATGAGAGCCCCAGCATACAACCTAAAAGTAGGTCCCTTTCCAACAGTTAGCAGAGCAAGGACGCTTCTAGGGGCTCCTGGCCTTACTACAAGGAGCAAGGACGCTACTAGGGGCTCCTGGCCTTACTACTAGGAGCAAGGGCATCGCTATTAGAAACAAGAAACAGAGGCGCTCCCCCCCGCAGCCGCCACAGCCTGCTGAGCGTCCAGTTGCTTCACGCATCGACGCAAGGCCTCGATGGTGCTGTACTCACAAGGAAGCCTTGCTTGTCTCATTGGAATATCACAATGTACAGCTTCCCTAACTCCCCTAATGAGAAGGGGGTACATTATATCAGTTACCTTGCATCAGGTATCTTATAGCTTATTTAATATCACAATGTACCTTCTATATTAAAGGTCAATCTTCCAAAATATGTTGGGCAACTAAATTTACTGTAAGTTGGAGGTGTTGGTCAGTAGTTTCGGTCTCTAACCATCAGATCCATCAGTGTCCCACTCCCTCCGACATCTGCGCTTACAGGCTTACAGGGCTCGGTCTTATGTGGCTCAGTCTCGTTTAGATGGCAGTCCAGCACCACAACCACACTCTCAGTCAAGAATCTCAATCACACTATTTCAACAACCCGCTACCCAAAATGATATCCCAAACCCGTGTAAATGTGGGTTGTACTCTCTCTTTGCCCTATCCGTGAGGTATCAGGGAATGCTATGCTGTCCCATATGTAGACACCCAATAGAGCTGCAAGTGGGCCTGCTGGGACACTGATGGAGTACGTGGAATCACCAAGACGTCCAGCACCGCGTTCAAGGAGGAGAGGAAGCTCAAGCGACCTCCTAGAGCGCACTGAGCTGTCGCTGTTTGGAACTTACGAATGAACCTACTATGTGTTTGACCTACCCAAACCAGTGGAGGCACCTCGACAAACGATAGAAACAAATCAACACAACATTGCCCTTTGCTGAATAAATTATTGCACAACATGTGCAAGATCCATAGCTTGTGCATCATTCGGATACGAAGACGAAGACGAAGAAGAAAGGGAAGAAGAAGGAGAAGGAGAAAGAGAACGAGAAGGAGAAGAAGAAGAAGAAGCGGATGATGTCCTTTTCTCTATGACCGATCTCTGAGGAAAGCAAGCCCAGTTGGCCAGAGAATCAACCACAACACCAGGATGTTTGGCATTCCATTTCTGCATCTTCGGATCGTTTTCAAAGCTCTGGACTGACCTCATTTGTTATCTGCTTTCCTTGTTGAAAGCTCCAATGCATGGGTGGACCACATACAGCAGTATTGGTGCAGTTGCAATACCATCCTCACATATCCTCACTGCCTCACCCACTTTATTGGCAAAGAGGGGTCTTTTGAGGGCTCTTGGTCAAACAAACCCATTTCAACCCAGAATGGTTTTGCATCTATGGGCCATGGGTATACAAGCATGGGTAAAATATATATGGTGAATTCATCAACAGTCAGCTTTACACTTCTTTCTCCCACCACGTCCCACATAAGTCCTCTCGAAGATTGACTGATCTGGACCGTGTCAAGCTTCTCTTCCAGCTGCCTCGGCCCACTTCTACTCCCATGAAGAATAAGCCCCTGCTGTGGCTGTGGTCATTGTACTTCTGGGTGAAACAAGACGAAACAAGTAGTTCAACCTATATAAGTAGTTCATGTCTCAGACCTGGTAATCAGAAGAAGGAAGATCAAAAATGAAAGAGGCAACAGCAACCTGGGTGTTTCAGCATGTTTGATCCCACTTCTGTTTCCATTTTCCCCCACCTCGGCAGCACCGGCGCTTTCGGCGCCATCTTCGGCTCCGGCACCCCTTTGGGCACAGCCTTCGCCTGGGCCTTGGTCTGGGCCTTCGCCTGGGCCTTTGCCGACCCCGTCGCCGGCCCCGTTGGCGGGGCGGCGCGGAGCTCTTCGCGGGCGCGGAGCTCGTCCAGTGCGGTGTGGAGAAGATGCCGCGGAGCCTGGTGGGTTCGAGTCGTGTGGCGGAGAGGTTCTGGGAGCTGGATGGGGCTGGTGGAGTTGGAGAGCAGTGGAGAAGACTGATGTGATCCATACCAGGATGGAGACAAATAAAGAGTCAATGTCACACACCATCACCAACAGCAACATGCTAAGCATGGGGGCTTCCTCTGCACAGCGGCCCCAGCAAAATTTGATCGAACCAAAGCATCAGATTCAGATGTGATTGTTCAATCAGGTGATATGTATTTTATCTCCGAAAGTATCAGCAGCAGTTCCAAAGGGGTACCAATATTGGAGGGTCCACTCACTTAGGGTCTCAAAACCATCCCTTTAGAACTCCTGGTAGATTCTAATACAATGTCAACATAGGATTAAGTAACCTCCCCCTATTAGTCAAGCCCAGCTCGAGCCCCCAATACTAAACTAAGTTAAAACCTGGTACATCACCCTAATAAAAAACATCCTAGCAAACACCTCCCACTATTAATCAAGCCCAGCTCCCCCAAAAAAAACAAGTATAGGAGTAGCTTCTTTTTGGGCAGTATCCAATATCTTCTGGTCCATGGTGAAACTGATCTTCTCATTCATTCTCATCCTCCTTCTGCTTCACTCTCGTCCATCATTATATATCATTGTCATCCTCCTTCTGCTTCTCATCCTGCTTTTTCGTCTCATCCTTCCCTTCCCTGTTAAAAACCCTCTGGCCTCCATCTTGTTGCCCATCTCTTTCATCCTGCAATCCTCTTTCTTTTCCTAATCATCCCAATCAAAGAAAGAATCTTGTCTTCCATTGTCTTCCTATCTCTTTCATCATCTCAACCATCCCAATCCCAATCTTTCCCAATCTTGTCATCATCTCATCATCCATCATCAGGTCATCACTTCTGGGCTGAAGTTCAGCTCATGACCGCCATACCCCTTCAACTGTACCTCGTCAGGCAGCAGCAACACCAGGTCGCACAGCAGCTCCGCCGCGACCGCTTCGCCTCCCCGGTCGCTCCCGGTGAGCAGGTCCCATCGAAAAGAAAAAGTCCGTTTGGGCATTGCAACAACAACACCATGCTTGAGTGTGTATTCATTTTGGGGTGACCCCCTGGCCCTGGCTGGGTAGACTGGTCGGACTGTCCCGTCTGGAAGAGGGGGTCGGAACGCCTGGGAGGTCTCCACTGAGGTCTCCCTCTTCTAATACACACCCTATATTGCAAAAAAGGGTTTCAGCGTCAGCACACCGCGCCTGATCTGGCCATGGTTGTGGCAAAGACCTCCAGCACCCTGAAGGCTTCACAAAAAAGAAATCCATAGTCCATAGGACTCGGATTCGTCACACGCCAAATGTGTGATCATCTTTTAAGACCTGGGAATTATGTTTCTTGGACATGAACTCACCGTCGCTAACCTCGAACCTGTCTTTTTGCTGATCGAATGGGCCACATCCTTGGCCGTACGGTACAACATGAAGCATGCCAGCTTACACTTCACCTTCCACCAACAAGTATCCGCCCCTCAATTGCAACAGCCCTTCCCAATCACTGTATGGTGTCAATTCTTCTGGACAGCTCAGCAGTGTACGGAATGCCCAGACGCCTCTGTGCATAGGTCGCGGCCGCCTCGGCGGCGGCCGCGGGGGTGGAATCGGCATCGCGGAGGTTGTAGCGGTATTGCGTGGAAAATTCCTGGCAGATCTCGCAGCAGACGGAGGTTTCCTCATGACCAACCCCTTTCGAGTCTTTGATTTGGATTTTGTACTCAAAAAAAACAAAATGTCAAAAGAATCTTCCAGCCTTAGGGGTGAGAATAGAAACCCCAAATGCCTTTCCTTGGCACCTCAGGCTGAATGATATCAGTCTTGCATCTGATAGGAACCGATGAATCCTGAGCAGTTTGTGTCCACCCCGAGCTCCACCGGGCACCAGACGGAGCGAGGCCGACGCTCCGTCGTCCTTGAAGCGCTGCAGCTCCGCAGCGCCCAGGGAAGCCTCCAAGTCGCGCTTGAAGCGGCGGTTCTTGGCGCGCCACTCCTGGAGAAACCCGCCCGGAATTCAACGGATGTGTTTTCGCGCTTCGGAATCCAACACCGCAAGCGAGAGGTGACAGACAATCACAAAAACCTATGGAATTGGAGAATACCCCTTTGATAGGAACATGTTCATGCTTTTTTCACAAGCCATCCATCCACGTCCACATAGTTGGGGCTGCAGGGGTGTGCGATAGTTTCTATTCAATATTCACGCTAACACGGAAGGAGCTCTGAAGGCGATATACAATATTATATATATCATATATATATATATATACGTTTGTGTTTTTTCTCTGCTCATTTGTTCTGTAGACCGTTTTCACGTGTTTTGTTCCGTTTCCGTCGTTTTCCCTTGCTATTATTTTTGTCATATCATCTTTATTCATCTGTACCTGATTCACTTTTCTTGTTTTCTGTTGTTTTCCCTCTAAAGTATGTCAGTTGTTGTCGGCGTTCACAATGTCATACATGTCATGGAGAATATGGTACCTCAGAGTTCAAGACGATGTGTCTGATCATCGTCACCTTTGGGACCTAGATTCACCCAGTTGAAAGGAAAAAGGCATAAAAAGGCACGAACTGCCCAACAGTGTCCAATCCACAGCCCCGCCCTAGGGAAAGCTAACAAGGGCAGGGCCACTGACGCCCATGGAGCTACGTCACCAAGGGGGCGGAAATGGTTGCAGTAGCCGGTGCCCAAAGGTCAAAAACATTGGCCAAGGATTCTCAGTCTGAGTCTGTGTCATGAAAGGTAAAAGAAATGTTCAGAATCCTTGGCAACGGACGTGGGGATGTATATTGTGTTGCACCTGCTTCGATTCTTTCTAACCCTAGTGAACGCTGGAGATCAAGACTGATCTCTTAGCCAGGGTCAGCACCCAGGCAGCCATTCAAGAGGATGTTGCGGAGCTTGTAAACGCACATGGACTCACGCGTCTCAAACGCCGCAGCATCGGCTCCTCTTGATCCAGTCTCGCAACCAAATTGATTCCCGTCCTCGGCCAGGACACAAAGAAAGGCAGGTGGTGTATGAGTATGGTTTGTAGTCTGTTGACTCTGGATTCATCTAGACCCATACTTTCCCTTTCACGCATCACTGTTGCCAACTTCTGAGATACGTTTCATCCGTCAATCCTTCACTTCCCAAATCCTCGGATCCTTCCTTCCCTTCATTCTTTCACTCAGTCTCTGGTCGATCCGCTGCACAGCGACTGCCAGCAGCTGCGACAACGCCCGGTGCTGCTCCCGTTCGGGATCGAGCCGCGCTGGCCGTGAGGGCTGTGAAGGCTGCGAGGGCTGTGAAGGCTGCGAGGGCTGCGAGGTCTGGGCGGCTGCGCGGCGCTCTTGGTGCTTGATGGGCCGCGGAGGGTACCTTTTCCATCGCGGCGATCGTGGAAAATTGAGGTGCCGGAGTGAGATATTGGTCTCAGGAGGTAAAGCTATAATTTGCTTTTTTCTGTCCAGAGATGTCCCGAGCTCAACATGAATTGATCACTGAAAGACCATGACGCCCTGAAAAAAAAATACAGCTGAGAACCGGAGGCCCGATCTGGCCCGATCCCTGCCTTTCTTCATTGATCTGACTGCCACTGCTTCCGCTCTCCTCCTGGGCGATGGGGTGGTTGATCGGTGGCTGCCAGTCTCAGTCTTGCACCTACAAGCACCCCATAAAGGCTCGAATCGCTCAATTCAGCGTTTCATCTGGAAAGCCGTTTCAATCAGAGCAAGCTTGGAAGACCAAGAATCCCCGGACCTTTCCAAACAGCGCGTCCTGTCACTCGCCCTGTCATATTGAAGCGCTCGCCCCAGACACGGCATTTCTCAAAGCCCACCCACCACCCAAACCCCCAGGTACACGCCTGCAGCTTGGGCCAGTCGCACTCGGGCGCGGCGGGCGGCTTCCCGCGGGTGCGCATGAAGCGGATGTCCCCGGAGACTGCCTTTGTAGAGGCGGGAGAGTTTGGGAGAATGTGGCAACTTCTGGGTTTGCTGAGCTTTGCTGTCTTAATCGGCGTATTGTTGGGTGAAAAACAATACGAAAGAACGCCCAATCCAAACAAGTGAAAAATGAAAAATGTGAAGGCGCTGAAGGTATGCACGTGTCTGACCTGGGAATGGATGGGGATTCGGATACAGGAACTGAGCGGAAACTCCCTGGCTATCGACGGCAATGTCGCTAGACCACAGCAGTGGGATGGACAGCATGTCTTTGACGTGAGCATTTCTGAAAAGGACCCAAGTCTAACAGCTAACCCTGGTCAACCAAAAAGAAACTGGCTCATCAAACCGTCCAATCTAAGCTAAACCCCAACACATCACCTTCACTCCACATGCCACCCTCTGCAAGGCTCTTTTTCTCTCCTCACGTCACACGGATCTTAAGCGTTCATTGAGCTCACTTTGCCGCCTCTTCACCTCTTGCACCATGGACACTGCCCGGGAACACAAGTGGCACCGCAAGTCGTGCATCCCCTGACCCATTCGAGCAGAGACCATGATCAACCGCTGGCCTTGGATGGCGGAGTTGGAAGAGTTGGATTGAATAAGCGATGACTAGACGAGAGATTGCCAACATTCCAATAAATCTTCCCCCAAAAGGACGATGTTTTCGGTGAGCAACCTATGTCCATCCCCCTCATGTACCAACCAGGCGGTGCCACATAAATTTCATACTCTCATAGATAGGTGCGGATAGAAAAAGGAATAAACTTCCTGGTGCTCAAAAGTCTTCAAACAGCAGCATGTTGCACCCTTTTGGACCTCCCAATTGACTCAACAACCACATGGACTTCCCGTGAAAACCCGGCAAACTGGGCAGACATGCCGCTCAGCGACTGGAACGAGGTACACTTCGGATATCTTCCAGGACCAGCGTCGCCACTTTGCCCAGCATCTTAGGGACCACCATGTCACCTGATTGGCGCAAAGACTGGGCATGTATCCCGTGACAAGCCTTGGTGTTCTTTCTTTAGGGATAAGTGACACTTCATCCTGCAGTAGGCAACTGCAGATTGCCTGGGTGTTGTAATTACTTTCAGAGGCGCACTAGACTGGTTGTCAGTTAAACAAAGCAAAGCATTCACAAATTTGAACAGGAAGATCTCAGACGTTTGGGTTTTTGAAGTTTTGGAGATGTGGCCAAGTCGCACTTCGTGAGGATGAAGATCTTCTCTGGTCCATCATCGCCCAGGGAGGCATAGAAATTCCAGTCAGAAGGTCGAATCCCTGTTCGAGCATCCACCAAGCAGTATAAAATCCGCAAAGACTTCCGGCGTTTCACAAAATCTGCCACCAATGGCCCGTACTGCGCACCCTTGGCATATCCATAGCCCGGCAAATCAATGACGTCGACTGGCAAGCGGCTGCACTTGTACCAGTCAATGCTCCGGGTGACGCCAGGGTCATCCTTCGCCTTGGAGCAAAGCATTATTCTTACAGTCAGCACACCTTTGTGGTCACTAAATGTTTTCTGTACCTGTTGGAGGGCACTCTTTGCAGACTCACGTGCAGTCCACAGTTACTCGCTATATCATAACTCTGATATCACCCCTTTTATATCCCAAGTCGCAGGCGCCAGTTGCTGCGTCCTTGTGAGTGCGTTCATCAGCGAGGACTTCCCCACGTTGGACGCTCCGATGAACGCCACTTCTGGCCGCTCGGGCGACGGAGCTTCTTCGCCGTTGGGGTGGCACCGAGCGCGCTGGCGCAGGAAACCCTTGTGCACGGCGATGGCCATGCGGCCCAACGTGTCACTTCGGCCATCATCCACGGAGCCTGGATGTGGTCGAAGCAGGACGTGACGCGAACGTCGCACGCACGTCGCACATGGGGAAGAGTCGAAGTGTCGGCGGTGGAAGAGTCGGAGACACCCCGAGAACAAAATTGACGTCAAAATCCACCTCCAAAAAACAAGCGCGCCGAAAGGAATGCGCAAACTTTTCACAAAAAACACAATTAGAACACCTCCGCCAAAAATCCTGAATTTTGTTGACCACTGGCATACTCGTCCCTAACTGACACCTCCCTCTTGATTCAATCCTTTTACGCTTTTACGCGCTTCACTTTTTGACTGGGTCTGACGTGGGTCAGCGAGGACTTTACGACCTGTCATGCAAGATGTCAATCTCACACAACAAGCAGAATTACGCTCAAACCATGTTAATATCATGTTCATGTACGTTACTAATGCTCAGACCATGCTCAAAGCTGAAGTTCACCACATCATCATGAGTGTTGAGCATGTGACGACGGTAACATACCAGTAACCCGAATTTGTTTCACAACTGCCAGGCTAGCTATATATAAATCTATATAATATTTTGCTATATCCAAGTTCAACAGTGGGCGTCCTGCCCGATGAATGGACTAATACACTGTGAGTGGCGCTTTCACATTTTTTGTCCAAAATCCGAACAGCTGTTGGTAGCCGTGGATAACCCAAGCACAATGTCAAAACAACGTCAAGCTTTAAGCCCCCCCAAGCCTATTCTGTTCCGCAACCTCCCAGGTATTGCTGTGACGTGGCACGTTTTGTGTTTGGACGCCGTCGCCCCACCTTGTCGGCCGTCGTGTGCCGGGTCCGAGCCCGCAAAGATGGCCGGGCGCCTCTCACCTCGCTTGAGCTTCGGCAACTTCCGGTTCCCCAGCTGGTGCAGCTCAATGAAGTCCTGGCGCTGGTTCCCGACGCGCATTTTTTGGAGGGCTCGGAAGTTTCGTCAATCTCCATCCAATGATTCAGATCTGGAGTGGCCTGATCTGTCTTGAAACTAGTGGGCATTGGCCTTGTTTGGGACGGCACGTCTTTTGGAAGTCCCCGAACTCCACAAGATTATCAATGCCCTGTTAAGAACCCCGTGTGGGGTTGTCTGTTTTGACTCCAGTCCTTAATGGACTTGGGCACAAAAGCTTCGGACAAACGAATCCGGAAGGCTCTGGGCAGCGGAATCATCTCCTGAAGCGAGAACGCCATCGCTGTGCGAGGCCAAACAGTTCAGATGGCATCGATTGACGAAAGAGTGGAAAGCCCAAACACTGGGCGAGTTCGGTTTCGCTCCCAAACGCGTTTGCGAGACATTGCCCAAACACTCCATGGGACTGACATATTTACCTATATTTGGGGGGGCTGAGGGATCAATACAGTTATATATCGAATTAACTATTTTTTACACACCCGCATCCTTGGGATTTCTTGGGTCATGAAGGTGAAAAGGTCTGCTGGTCTTGTTTGGAATGGATGAGAAACGCAGGCCATGCTCAGTTAAGTGTCCCTAAAAAATCTAGGAACCAAATCATTAGTCCAGATACTAGACGCTTAAGTAGCTAGGAGCGAACTTCTCCCTTACTTAAGTAGGCGCCCTACTTAATCAAGTAAGGAGGCAGGGCTACGGGCTAAAAAATATGCTCGGGCATGTCCATCATTAGACCATGCCATGATACTGTACCAGGTACCAGGTACCAGCACAAAGAAACCGTGTCGTGAACTGGGCCATCCTAAGTCGTACCTCATGCAATCAACAAGCCAGGTCAAAATCCAAGCAACAGCGTTGACTGAACGCCCGGAAGAACTCTTGCTGGAACCTTTGCAGGTCAATGGTAAACTAAGCCCAACCCCATTGCCCAACACACTCCACTGCTCTCCTTAACCCCAAGCTGGGCTGCAGGATCAGTGCCTTGATCCCATCCGCCCCAGTCTTCTGCAGCGAGTCTGGCCCTCTCCAAGACGTTGAGCCCTGGATTCGCCCAATCCAATGGCTCGTTGTCCTCCGAGGCTCTTGGTTCGCCGCCGGGCCGCGAGCCGGACGCCTCTTCAACGGAAGGGAAGACAGGCGCAACACCACCTCAGCATGAAAGACCCCCAAGTGAGGAGTCCTCCTGCAAGACTCTGGTTCCTCTGCAAAGTGGACCACTTCTGATGTAGATTTGAGAATCAAAATGTGGCTCAATATACCTGTGAAGGTCTGTTCGAACAGTCCAAAAACCGTGAACCAGATTCTTGCCCGAAGGGTCACATCAATGTGGAGGTTGAGGCTTTGAAATGTTGGGTCCACTTTCCCGACATTCCCTATAATTCATATTTAGTTCGTTGGAATTAATTAGTATGTCAATAGAAGCACTTCAGGGCCGTGACTCCCAAGCGTAGCCAGGGCGTGCCTAGTTTGACTGATCCGCAAAGGTTGAAGACACATTCACCTTTTGCAGTGGGGTCCAAGTATTGTTTGAAGGATAAATGAGTTAGGGAAAGACCTAGGGCCATTCATCCATTAGGTGCTCTCATGAGCTATGGAGTGCAGGGCCTGCACAGGTCAATGTCAACAATCCAAGAGCCCCCAACATGAGTGAGCCCAAAGCGGCTGGAGAAAGAAATCCTGTTTTTGTTGCTTTAACTCATTCCAACATGCTTGCCTGTCAAACATCCGTTTCTCAAAAGAACACCAGAGGCTTACAATGTTGATCCCCCCAGCCGACCAGCCCTAGGCTTCCCCATGTTCAGCAAAGGCCGCATGATGCTGCTAGTTACCCACTTTCTCCAAGCTGCTGGGCACCTCCAACTCCTTCTCCTCCTCTTCCTCCTCTTGCTCGATCCCCGCCAACCAGCGCCGCCGCAGCTCCCGCTTCTCCTCCCTCCTAAGCAGGTTAGCAGCAAAGGGCCTCTGGAGTTGCCTCTGGGCAGAGAGGGACCTCTAGAGTTGCCCACTATGTGAAACAATGTAAAACACAATTGTACAGCCCGGTTCATCAAGAAGGTGTTCAACTGTGTTGAATGAGGGCAAGCATCATCAATTTTCTGAGTTGGGCTGTGAGACGAGGAGCACCCCCCAAAAAACTAGCCGAAACAACCTGTTAGAACGCTTGGCTTGTGGAAGATTCAATATGAGCAGTTTCCAAGCAGTTTCCGGCACCCACTTTGGCCCACTTGCAATAATCTTCATTGTTATTGTTCCATGTTCTTTGGAAACCTGGAAATTAAAGTCCTTGGTTCGACTCGACTCACAACAGTTCATAGCTTCCATGTTCATGACCCTTCCCACTTCACTTGGGCCGTGCCGACCTCAACCCTGCGACCTCCCGCACAGCCAGGTCTCTTCCGGTACGTGCTCACACTGGCATGGGTCGCCCTTCGGCCCAGCCGACGGCCGTGCCGCGCGGCACCCGCGGCGGCGGCCGCACCGAGCCCGAGGCTCCGACCGCGTGAAGCGCGGTGCGCCGGCGAGGAGGCGCGGTGCGCGCGCAAGGGTTCCGCACGGCTTCCAGAGGACAAGGTGGGTGATGAAAGCCAAAGACTTTGGGCAGGCGAAAGAGATAAGGCCATGGGACAAACTGAGAATGGATATTGAAAGTATTTGAAAGTCTTGAATATTACAAGTTGGTGTGATGAATGAGCAAATTTGCGCTGCTGCTGGCTGAGAATGGGATGGCTGATGATGCTGAAGAAGAACTGTAATCCTCAAAAATGTCGCGTCCTTTGTGCGTCCAAAGGACGTCGCGAGGATCTTGCGCATGAACCTTTCAACGAGTTTCTTGAGTTCAATGCTGTTCACCCATCATCGCGCCCCTGGTTGCACCGAGAGCCTCCCGGGATCGTCCAGATAGTATAGTCTCGTGATCTTGAGCCAATCCCCTTTCCAATCAACCGAAAGTGAGAGGAAAACAACATAACTCAGGGAGCATTATCCTTCTACTACTGCTATTCCAACTACAACTACTATACTACTATACTACTATACTACTACTACTACTACTACTACTACTCCTACTACTCCTACTACTCCTACTACTCCTACTACTCCTACTCCTACTCCTCCTGCTACTGCTGCTACTACTATGAGCACTTGCGATGTTTTGAAATGTTTCTGGGCTATGTTACTAGAACGCTATATTGTTGCTGGTAGCGATGGCCTCCAACCCAATATAGCGATGGCCTCCAACCCAATATAGCGATGGCCTCCAACCTAATATAGCGATGGCCTCCAACCATATAGCGAAGGCCTCCGGCCTAGTATAGCGATGGCCTCCAACCTAA